TAAATATATAAGGGAAAAATAACAAAAATCCATTAGCTTTAGTATACAACAAATCCCTACCAAGTCATCAAATAGGGAAGCACTCCAAAGTAAAGCTAGAAAATATATGCAGATACACAAAAAATGTAAAAGGGTCAGTAAAACCATGAAACAAGTTTCACCTCATCGATAATCCAGTGTGCATAAAACAAGATATTCTTTCTTTGGGGGCAAACTATCTATTAGGAATAAGTGAGACTATAACAGGCCCATTCAAAAAATTGTTAGTATACAGAAACAGTCTTAAGAATTTTCGTGATAAGGCTTTTTATTAAAGACTTTAAAAAATGTGCCTACTCAGCTAAGTGAAGTGGCATATGCCTGTAATTCCACTGACTCAGTAGGCTGAGGCAAGAGGAGTTCAAGTTTGAGGCTAGCCGGGGCAATTTAGGAAGATCTTGTCTTAAAATAAGCAGTAGGCATATAACTCAGAGGTAGAGCACCCTTGGTTTGATCCCCAGTGGGGGCTGGGAATGCAACGTGTTCATTCTCTGGCCCAGACATTTCATTTCTAAGAATTTTGATCCTAAAGAGTAAATCAGACAAATTTTTTAAAACCTATGTATAACAATAACGTACATCATGACAATGACTAGAGTTTACCAAATTTTGCACATACTGAATTATTAATTTGAGGGAAAACCCTGCAAATGTTATGGGAAAACACTACTGGATGCAGGAAATAATTTTCTTAAAAATTCTCCTAAATGTGCTTTAATTCCACAACTAAAAGCTAGAAGCAAAACTACAAACCCCACAAATGGCAAGTATTCAAGTTGTAGTTTCAGTGCAAATTTAAACTCAATAAGCACATTTAAGCAATCTTTTCCTCCAACTGTTTTTGATCAGACCAACTTGGGAAACAAACAGAAATTTCTGGAAACATGTAGGTTATTAAATAATTTGTTTATTGTACTGCATTTATTAAGAAAACAGACAATGCACTCAGTAGAAAGAATAAAAATGTATCAGGGCTTTATTTTTAACAGCGAATAGAAATCCTTTCCTGGGATCATAGTAATTTGACAGTATTATGATTAAGCTCAATAAAAGTTTGTGAAGTACTTAGAAGATCAAGTTCTACAGCTGCCACTTTCCAGATCTTCTAGTTTATCTGGCTCTTTAAATAGTAGGGGGGGGGAAAGCCCTTATTTGCTGGGAAACATTTACAAAGTTACATGTTCTTTCTCCTATTAAAATTTCCCATCAATTGTTAAAAAGGGGCCTTCTGTTCGCTTACGTGTTTTTTGGTTATTTCACCAGAATTCCTGAATTCCACAATTGATTTTACAACGTAGAAGATTTCAGGTAAGTCTGCTATTGCTTTAGATGTAAATATAGTTGAAAACCGAAAGTGGATTAGAACTGCTGAAGGATTTCCCTGCCGTTGTTTGATACAAGTTCTTTATTCTTGATATGTGCATAGACATGACTTAAAATTCTTTCTACAGGAACATGTCTGATTTCAGGAGTAACCAATCAAGGATCCGATGAGTAGCTGGATAGTTCCTCAGAATAATATGGTTATGGGTTAAATGGATTGCATAATGACATGTTTTCCTTTGTCATTGTTGGTGAGTAAATGACTGAAACAATCTTCCATAWAAAAAGGCGGATGTTCGACATTTTCATAGGTTGCTTGCTAGTAGAACCTTGAGTTGCACCTCCTTGACTTTCTGCAAATTAGAGTTCTAAAGCCACTTCTGGAGAATGCTGTAATCCCCAAGGCCTACTTGGTCCATGCTGAATAAGTGGCTTGACCCCAATCCTCCCTCTTTTGCTGCTCATATTACCCAAGGAATATGTGATGTTTAGGGCAAGTCTAGGAGAGGTCAATCCTAAAATAAAATTCACAAAGCCTTTTCAAATTGAGGGGAGAAAAAAAAAAGCCTCAAGTACATTTCAATCATCTCAAAATCGCAGTTAAAAACTTACATTATGCAAGGAAATAGCAGCAGAGAATGGTTAATCTTAAAAATCCAACAGGGGGAAAAAAAAAGAAGCCATTGAAAAAGTGCCATCYCACCCTTCCCCTTGGTTCCTTCCTCCAGGGTTTCATTAGAGACCCCAAGCATCTGAGAAACGAGAACAGCAAAGACACAGGGAAACTGCTCAAAGCCAGAACTTTGGGCAAGGTAAAGAAAAAGCTATAAATAAAAGCAGAGAACTATTTGGTAAAGAATCAGAACTCTAAGGCATTTTCTCTTTAAATGGGAAAGCTCTGAAACTCAGATCTTGTTTCTAGTCACCCTGATCCTTTAGTTATAGGGCAATAAACTCAAGTACAATGAGTCAGGTGCCAGATAGGAATTAAAAAAAAAAAAAAAAAAAAAAAAACAAACAAACCAAACACACCAACCAAACCCAAAAATGTTAACTGCCAATCAAAGTAAATTCTGCTCTTAGGGTAACAGAAGACACATAGGAAAGGGCTACTTGCAGAACATCTGAGGTTTTCAAGAAATTGTTATTAACACAATGGTTCCATTTCTGTTTACATTTAAAAATCAGAAGATTTGAGGATCTTGGAGTTATTAAAGGATGAAAGGAATAGTGCTTTGAATCTTGATAATATGGTACCCAAATTTGGTGTTTATACAGCTCATTTAAAAAGGTAGTAGATTAAAAGTCGGAGGAAAAATAACATAGAAAACAACAGAAACAATCCAGGTAGATGATGCAGCCTGGATACAGCAAGTTTAATGTCTCTGCTGTACACAGAATGAACACCCTTTCCCTCCTCATCCTTATGCTGGCAATAGGMTATTCACTAGAAAATTTGACTCGTAGAGTCCATGAATAAAAAGATGGGCTCATATATCTTAAAGGCTCTTTTTAAAAAGGGTTATTATAATTTGAAGGATGCTCTAATGGAAAGGCAAAGGTATAGGCCAAGAGGCTGTTCACATTTTTAGTCCATTAGTCTTTGGCAGAGCCCTACCAAGGCCAAATTCACCTAGGATGCGGAATGGCTGTGGGGACCTCCACAGGTTCAAGTGAGCAAACCCAAATGAACATGTTGGATTAAAGAATAAAAAAAGACGAAGAAAAATCTAGAAACCCTTGAAGAAAGAGCTTTGCCCTGAAAAGAGAAGAGGGAAATGCTTGGAAGGGAGTGGGTGGGGGGTGGTCAGTGTGGTGATCTCTGCTGCAGTGCTGGGCAGGGACTTAGGAGTTGAGCCAAGGATGCCGGAGACACTCGGCAGCAGTGGCTCTCTTCTCAGGGATGAGCTCCAACATGGGCAGTAAGAAATCTGTGAAGCCAGCTGCCTCTTCCTGAGACCACTCATACTTCTCCACTAGAACTTCAAAAAGGCCCCAGGGTTTCAGCTTCGTGATGTGTTTCAGGTCACCTGTGATGAAGACAGTACAAAAGAAACTGACCAACATTGACAAGTGACAATGTGACAATCCAGGAACCAATCCAGGTAGTCTACAAAGAATCAAATTTTGCAATCAGAATCTAATGTTCCATTCAAAAAGCACTTCTCTTGAAATGAAGTGCTTCTATTTTTCATAAGGTACTAAAAATTTAATAAGACGATTTGTTTTCTCCCCTCAGGTTTGTTTTGGTCCCAAACTGGATACATCTCAACAGAAACTAGTTATTCACTAAATGTCTGTATACTCATATATCCAGGTCTACACATTAAGAACAATTTGCTTGTACTCTTTCTTTTGGCAGTACTGGGAATCAGACTGAGGGCCTCACACATGCTAAGGCAAGTACTCTACCGCTGAGCCACACCTCTACTTCTTTTTGATTTTTCTTATTTTGAGATAGGGTCTCCCTAAGTCACCCAGGCTAGCCTTGAACTCATGATCCTCCTTCCTCAGCCTCCTCAGTAGCTGGCATTACGGGTGTGTGCCACTATACCCAATTTGAGCTAAGAAAAAGTACAAACAAGTCTAGAAAATATTGCTTCTAGAAAATGTTGCTGTAAAACAAATGTGATTTTAAAATAAGGAGCTAATACCATGGCAACATGTATAAAAAGCAGCAAAACTAAAAGAACATACCTGACATAGATTTCATATATAGCAACACCATACTAAAACTTCAATCTAATTAATTGCTTCTTTGAAGTGACACTTTCTTTGCAATGCTGGAGATCAAACCCTGGGCCTCGTGTGTRATAGGCAAGCATTCACCAATGAGCTACACATGCAACCTTGAAGTGGCAATGTTTCAAAGATATTTTGTCTATTTGGGAGATGGAGGCCTTACTATGTGGTACCCAAGCTGGCCTCAAAATCCTGGGCTCAAGTGATCCTCCTACTTTAGCCTCCTGTGAAGCTGGGATTATAGGCATGTACCTATGCACCCAGCTGAAGTGACAATTTAGAAAGTATAGTCAATTATCAATGACTTATTAAAGTAAGTGCTACTAAACACTTTTTCATAYATGACACTTACTTGGAGTCTTTTCTGTGGGCAGAGAGTTGCCTGTTCAATTATATTTGCATACCTTAATCTTACTTTGCATACAAGGAAGAACCCTTACAAGCATTTCCCCATTTTCATGCCCAAAAAATTGTGTAAGAAAGAATGATGATTCTGAGAATGCTTCCTGTCAAGGGTTGAGAAAAATAATTTTTCTAAGCATTTGAGTAGCAGTTGTGATGAAAAGGAGAACCACGACACGATGTAGAAAAACAGGCCAGACAGTTTTCTAGATCCTTCTAGATTAGCTTTTCATATTTCAGTTTTATTAGGAATGCATAAGAGATACATGATCAAGTCAAAAGTTTAAAGTGAGAGTCTTATCTGTTTCTTTCATTAATATGTAATAACAAATTATGAAACTAAAGTACTAAATCAGTTTGTACGGCTAACCCACAAGGTGTCTGGGTGATTGTGTTAGGCATCACTGGGATACAAAGATGACTGAGATGTAGTTCCGACTCCTAAGAAGCTTAAACCAAACCACTTGGCCTTTGGTAGAGGCAGTTTGTAAACAGAACACCAGCAAAAATTTGTCCATTTCCCAGCAATGCTGCAGTAGAAGTAATCATATATTAACTAATTTAACAGAAAGAATAAATTATTATCTTCCCTAAGTAGAAATCAGCTAGTGGGAAAGCTGAGATTGGATACTCAGCTTTATCTCTCCTTTTGACTATTTCACCCCTCTGCTAAATCACAGATTAGCATTCAAGGTAGGCTAACCATTTTGTAGGATAGTGGAAATATGTAACCAGCTGTACTTACCTTTTTGTTTTTAAGTACTTTTGCCCCCTTAATGTCTGGGAACAAACACAYTGGTTTTACCTTTTTTGGTGAAAAATTCCTTGGAATATTTTCCTGCCACAATGAGCTTGCGAGGCACCTTCCCCAGAAGTTCTATGATCAATGCAATGTGATCTGTATGTTTCAAACATTTCAAGAGGGGGGAAAAAAAGACATACATAACAGGAGTAACAAATGCAGCTCTATACACTGGCAGAAAGAGTAGCATGCACACCTCTTTGTAAAGCATTTCAGCTTGCTTTCTGTCCTAAATGGGAAGAGGTGGACTCTATCCATCTAATGGAGAATCCAGAATATCATAAAAACATTGGGTACCCACTCCAGTGGGACCTGAGTGATAACTAAAAATAGTCTTGGTGTGAATGCTCTGTTTCCTGAAGTTGTATCCCTGGGGCCTAGATGGAAACTCATTTTAGCAATACTACCTCTGCGATTGAAGAAGTCCTGTGAATATTTCCCACTGAGGGCAAAGCGTCTTGGAATTCTGCCTATCAGCTCTATAATGTGCGCAATGTGGTCTAAAATAGAAGGGTAAGAAGAACAGGATGAAGGACAAGTTGTTAAAGAGATTTTTTTTCTATGAATAGCTTTTTCAAGGACTACGTGTTTAAAAGTAACTACAAGTAAAACCAATGATATTCAAGGCAAGACTGGGAAGGCCAGGCATTTTTTCAGGTGGCTGGTTACCTGATCATAGCTGGCAAGTCTCATTCTGGATCTCACAGACTATCTATAACTTTATGCTTTTTAGTTTGTCTCTATCTAGGTTTAGGTAGGTTCTTCAGGTAAGGTTAAAACAAAATGCCAATTTGCTTTAGGAATTTAGAACTGTTATTTATTTGTAACACTATTCTGGGCTTCAAGGACTAAAACATTACCTTATCTAGGAATGTTCACGACAAAGCCCTCACATATGACTGAGTATTTATAGTCACCCTGAAAAAACAGGCTAAGATTAATGCCACATTTTAAAGGTGGAACTTCAGAGAGACTAAATGGCCTACTTAAAGTTTGAGAGCTAAAACTAAAATGACAACTCATATCTTGTCTTATCTAACCCAGAGCTTTTCTCCCCCCACCCCCGCCCAAAATCACTTTTAAATTAGCACAAACGTTTTAAAGAATATAGCTACTTGACTGCAGGCTACTAATATGTCCTAGAGTGAGCACTGCCAGGAGGTGGGCAGATTGCTAACAGGGATGGTAAGCTGGTACTAGCCAGTAATTAACTCATCTAGTTATTTGGATGTCACCATAATGGAAAAAAAAAATCAGCTATCCTACTGTTCTCATTCTTCAAGTGACAGAAACTAAGAATATGAAGAGATTTAATAGACCAATGGCTCATAACTAGAAAAACACTTTTATAAATATCATAACATGTTAGAGACAATATTATCTGGAAATCTTGAAAGTCTCAAGTTTTATCTCTTTCTCCTATTAAAGATCTACTGGTGTAATTTAAAAAGGACTTTACATTGATCAATTCACTACAACCTCTGAGCAGTTTTGACTGAGTTTATGGTCTGGTTAATAAGTACCTGGCTGTCAAAAAATTTTGCCTAAAATTTCTGCCAATTTTAGGCAAAACCTGCAAATAAATGTCTTTGTATGTATAATTTAACAACAACCAAAGTGAAAATACAAATGAATGAATAGCTTATAGTTTCTTTTATGCACTAGTTCTATACCATGGAATTATTTTTCCCTTGGAATTATTATTTAGTTCTAGCAACCTATCTCTTGCATTTTAATTAATCACAGGATTGACATATCAATATGCAAAATTATCAAGTATTATCCCAGGAGTTAGGTCTGTGGAATGTAATAATAAGCGGATATTCTATTTTAGGCCCCAGTATAGCATGACTATTAACAAACTATACATACATAGTCAGGATTAAGGTTTTTTTTTTTTTTTCTGCTCTTATGGGGCAAACTGCAGTAGAATAGAACAGAAAGGCAAGGCTTTGACCTAAAAATTATCAGTATTGACTTGTATAGGAGGAAATAAGTTACAATCTAAATATCTAGGCAAGATGGTTTTCTCTCATCAGATTTTTCTCACATACATATTTCAATTTTTCAGGTTAATAACTTAAGGTACCACTCAATATGATGTTAGCCAGTATGTGTGTTCTGTACTAAACACTAGTATTAATAAAGACTCTAGGAAAGTAAAGAGAAAAAAAAATTACTTCCCTAGAAATAGATAATAAGGCTTTTAAAAACCTGTTTGTTAACGTATAACATATAACTTACAACTCAGAGGAGGGAAAAAAAAATAAAAGACAAGGAAAGAACAGGGGAGAAAAGTGGGTACATGGGCAATTGTTGTAGTATTTTCTTACAAAGGACACACATTTTAAGAAAGTATCCAAACTACACCAATCAAAACAGGTAGCTGGCTATGGGAATTAACACATCTTTTCCCAACTGGGCTTTGTTAGGAATATCAGCAGGCTGTACTAACACTGCCTATTAAAACCTGAGGGGACCACACTAAGGAACAGAGAACATTCTTGGTTCCATAGAACATAAAATGTGATTTCCCAAAATCTGGAGGAAAGCATAGCCAGTGAAGCACATGTTCTTCCCACTGGGCTGTGCTAAGTAAATACTCCCTTAAACTAACCCTCATTAAACCTGCAAACAAAACAAACATTAATTGAATAGTATAAAAACAAAGCAAAACATTAATCATTTTTTTCTCTTTAGTGCTGGGAACTGAACTCAGAGTATAGGGCATGCTAGTAAGTGCTCTACCACTGAGCCATATCCCTAGTCCCCCCACCCCTACCACCTTTTTTTTTTTGGTACCAGAGATTGAACCCAGGGGCACTAGCCACTAGGTCACATATCCAGCTCTTTTTATATTTTACTTAGAGACAGGATCTTGCTGAGTTGTATGGGGCCTCACTAAACTGCTGAGGCTGGCTTTGAACTCACAATCCTCCTGTCTTAGCTTCCTGAGCCACTGGGATTATAGGTGTGTGCCACTGTGCCCAACTTCTAACCATTTTTTCACTCAGCTTATTAACTCATCTAGTTATTTGGATGTCACCACCAAAAATCAGACTCGTACAATGTCTGCTTCCTTAGCCTCACGGATGAAGCAAACAAGTGGGGGCTTTCCTTACAGGGTACTTAAAAATTTACAATCATTTTATTTTGTTTTTAAGTGGCATTTTAAACATGAATATCATTTAAAAAGAAAAATTAAAGCTTTAGATTTCAGAAAAGTATCATAGAATTTATGTAAATAGGATGGTATCTGTAGTCAAGTAGTGTTTCTAGATGATTATTGACTTCCAAATAAAGTTGAAGGCACAGCTGGGAACAGGTTTATGAACAGGTATATTTAAACTGGGTAAAGAACAAGTCACAGACCTACAAAGAAAGGTAATTGGATGTTGAATAAAAAACTACTTGTCAAATAAAATTTTCATTTTACCAGTTGTGGCCTTATGCCAACCATCCGTTTACAGCTTTTTAGTATTTTTTATAAAATACCTAGTATATCTGGCATCTAATATGAAATATTTCTTAAATTTCTATCTTTTGTGGTACTTATACATACTTGGCACACTAACAAGATTACTAGGGCAAATGATATTAGCCACATGTGGAAAGTAAACTGCCATGCACAGACAAATTTGGCTAAGGGGACTCACCTTCATCTCGAGTGTACTCTTCCCCTGAATGAGGTTCAAACAAATAGTCACCTGTGGCCAGTTCAAAGGCCTAAGAAAAAGAAGATAGCATACAAAGCATTAAAGAGGGCTTTTGGTAAGGGCTTATTGCTATTTGACTCAAGAAATTTTATTCTTGGAAAAAATCTATAGATGACCMTTTTTTAAAAAATGTCTTAAAATTACTCCTAAAGAACTTTTCTTCCACACCTGTATCTTAATAAAATGGAAAAAAAAAAGACAAAATTATTTGGACTGATGTTCCACAGGGAAAAAATAAGCAACAACAACAACAACAAAAAAAAAAAAAAAACCAAACAAGAAAAAACAAAAAAATAATCAAGCAGGGAATGAGGGAGGATGGGAATCTTGAAGGTCTCAGGTACAAAGTCACATATAAGAGAAATTCTAGTATTCTACTGCCCAGTAGGGTAACTATAATTAACAATAACACATTGTTACATAGTACATTTCAAAATAGCTATCGGAGATGACTCTAAATATTCTTTTATGGTGCTGAGGATTGAACCCAAGGCCTCGTGCATGCAAGGCAAGCACTCTACCAACTGAGCTATATCCCCAGACCACTCTGAATATTCTTAATACACAGAAATTATAAATGAAGTGAGGGATATGCCAGTAACTCAAATTTGATTATTATACACTGTATATAGAAACAACACACTGTACCCCATAAAAATGAACGACTGACACCTAATAATTGTGCATTTTATGGGGTACAGTGTGTGTTTCTATATATACATACACACATACATATTTGTTGCTTCAATTATTATGTGTCAGGGGAAAAAAAAACAGCAATTCAGTCCTCCTGAGTTTCACTTTTGGTTAGGAAAGGGCATACCTGAATATTAAGGTAATTCTAAGTTACTAAATTGTTCATAAGAGCAGGTGTTTTTTACATTATAATTTCACATAGCTAGAAACTGAATTCTGTACCCTAAATCGAAATCAAGTACTCACATATTTCTACCAATGACTCTTTAGTCACTGACAAAAAGTTTACTCTTAACTTTTGTGTGGAAAATATTCCCTAAATAGACCCAGATGGAGTTTCCAATTTCTAGGTCTACGGAAACTCAGAAAAAGTTAAAATGTCAAGGGTATAGGGAGTCCCTCTATTTTATGTAACCAGTAGAGGTCAGCATTCACAACTAGGAAAAGAAAGGCACATATCTCCTGTGAACTGAAAACCTTTTGCAAAACATTGGGATGTTTTTAAGAGATGAATTCTTTTGGAATGTCAAGCAGTACGTGAAGGACAGCACACCTGGATAATGAGGTTACGTGAACTTTTCACTGATTACAAATGGATTTCTCAAAAAATAACCAACACACTAGCAGTTTCTTAAAATGGCATTACTTATGTGAAAGTATAATTATAAGCTAACAGTAGACATAGGTCAATTTTGATTGAGTCAATGGTACTAAGATAATCTCAACGGAGGGGCAAGCCAGGTGTATGGTGGTACACATATGGTGGGTACTGTAATCCCAGCAACTTGGGAAGCTGAGGCAGAAGGATCATAAGTTTGAGGTCAGCATGGGCAACTCAGAGACCCYATTTCAAAATAAACAATAAAAGGGGCTGGTGATGTAGTGTTTGTCTCCATAATGTCAGGAATGCAATGGTGTCTTGTTAGGCATTACTTGTTTTAGCAGTTCATTATAAAACTAAGTCATACCAACAGAACAGATACCTGTTCTACCTTGTATAACCTAAGGGTTATAGTCTAAAATTGGCACAGAAACAAAAATTTTTGAAACCAGTACTTTTGCAAAATCTCAAGTCTCATACAGTAAATATAGTGGAATTAAAGTTAAAAAAATAGATATGATGTTATTTAGAGTGCTTAATGGGGCCTGGGGGTGTAGCTCAGTGGTGGACTATATACTTAGCAGCTGAAAGGCCCTAAGTTCAATGCCCAGGACAAAATAAACAGAAATAAAATTTAAAAATAAAAAATGATGCATACTAAAACTTATGGCATATAGCAAAAGCAGTCCTAAGAAAAAGTTTATAGGGGCTGGGGATGTGGCTCAAGCGGTAGCGCGCGCGCCTGGCATGCGTGCGGCCCGGGTTCGATCCTCAGCACCACATACCAACAAGAATGTTGTGTCCGCCGAGAACTAGAAAATAAATATTGAAAATAAATCTCTCTCTCTCTCTCTCTCCCCTCTCTCTTAAAAAAAAAAAAGAAAAAGTTTATAGCAATAAATGCCTACATTAAATAAGAAAGATTTCAAATAATAATATATTTACTCAGAAAGCTAGAAAAAGAACAAAAAATTATGCTCAAAGTTAGGAGAGGTAAGGAAATAATAAACACTAAAGCAGAAATAAATGAAAAAGACTATAAAAATAATATAAAAATGAACAAAACTAAAACCTGGCTTTAAAAAAATAGATCACAAAATTGACAAATCTTTAGCTAGACTAAGGGGAAAAAAGAGAAGGCTCTTGGGCTGGGGATGTAGCTCAGTTAGTAGAGTAGCTTGCCTTGCATGCACAAGGCCCTGGGTTCAATGCCCAGCACCCCCCCCAACCAAAAGAGAGAAGGCTCAAAATAAGGGAAAGAAGGAACATTTAACAACTGATACCACAGAAATACAAAGGGCTATAAGTGACTACTATGAATAATTTATATACCAATAAACTGGATAACTCAGAAGTGGGTGAATCCTTAGATACATAAAACCTACAAAGACTGAATCATCAAGAAATACAAAACCTGAAACAGACCAGTAACAAGTAAGGACAATGAATCAGTAACAAAAGAGTTTTTCCCATCAAAGAAAAGCCCAAAACTTGATGGCTTTATTGCTGAAGTCTAGAAAACATTAAAAGAAACAATACTAGTCCTCCTTAAACTCTTCTAAAAAGACTGAAGCAGAGGGAATATATTCAAACTCCTTTTATGAGGCCAACATTGTCCTGATACCAAACCCAGAACAGGGACATTACAATAAAGAAAATTACAGACCAATATCCTTGGGGAACATATAGGTATATGCAAAATTGGTATATGCAAAATTCTTCAAGAAAATATTACTGGGCTGGGGATGTTTCTCAGTGGCATAGCACTTGCCTAGCACATGTAAGGCCCTGAGTTTTATCCCCGGCACTGAAAAGAACTAATCAAGATGCCAAAATACTACCAAACTGAATTTGAGAGCAAATTAAAAAGATCACACATGGGGCTGGGATTGTGGCTCAGCGGTAGAGCGCTTGCTTAGCATGGGCGGGACCCAGGTTCAATCCTCAGCACAACATAAAGAAATCATCTATACCTAAAAAAAACCAAACAAAGATCATCACCATATTCCTGGGATGCATGGATGGTTCGACAAAGACAAATAAATGTGAATCAACACATTAATAGAACAAAGGACAAAAACCAATTAGGTGAAGAAAAAAATGTGACATCCATTCATGATAAAAAAGTATCATCAAATTAGGTACAAGAGGAATATAACTCAAGAGCATAAAGGCCACATATGAGAAACCACAGTTAACATTATGTATGTGTGTGTGTGTGTGTGTGTGTATCTCCATCCCTAAAGACTCCAAATTCAGTAAAATTACAGGATATAAAATCAATACACAAAAATCATTAGTATTTCTATACAACAATAACAATGAACGATCTGAGAAGGAAATCATGAGAGGGGCTGAGGTTGTAGTTGAGTGGCAGAGCGCTTGCCTAGCATGTGTGAAGCACTGGGTTTGATCTTCAGCACCACATAAAAATAAACAAATAAAATAAAGGCATGCTGTCCATCTACAAGTACCAACAAATAAACAGAAAGATAAATAAATCATGAGAACAATTCCACTTAAAAAAGAAACACTGTACACTAAAAACTTTAAAATATTGATAGTTACAGTAATTAAAACAACACAGATAGGGCTGGGGATATAGCTCAGTTACAGACCATTGGATCATAATGGTCAGGAGATTACGTTGAGCCAAGACCTATATAGGTAGAAGGAGAAAGAGTAAGAGGTAAGAGGGAGCTTAATGTGACTAAAGAAAAAAAAATTGACTAAAATAGATGCAATTCAAGAATTTAAAACAGGAAAATAACATGATTTGATTAATACTGAAGATTACTCAGACTGGGCACAGTGGCACATTACCTGTAATCCCATGGGAGGCTGAGATGGGAGAATCGTGAGTTCAAGGCCAGCCTCAGCAACAGTGTGTCACTGTTTTATTTAGAGATGCTGTCTCTAAATAAAATACAAAATAGGGCTCTGGATGTGGCTCAGTGGTTGAGGGTCCCTGAGTTCAATCCCCAGTACYGCCTCCCCCCAAAAGATCACTCAGGCTATTATGAGAGAATGTACCCCAAAGAGAGAAAAACAGAAGCTAATAAAGAAGAGGCCACTGTAGTGGTCTATGTATTTAACAATGATGACTTGACATAATGGGTTAATGGAAAAGGTAAGAAGTGACTGGTACTGGATATATATTAGAGGTAGAACTTGCAGATGAACTAGGTGTATAGAGCAAAAGGAGAAAAGAATTAAGAATTAACCTAAAAGTTTTGGATTTGAGCTTTTTAAGTGGGTGAACAAAGGGTCATTTACAAAAACTGAATATATGGATCAAACCTTTTGATCTAAAAATTTAAATTTGAGCTGTTTATTAGATATTCAAATGGAGTTGCCCAGGATATAGTTGGACAGAAAAAGCCAGATGAAATATAGAGGTAAGTGAGACTGGAGATGTCATGGGATCTCCCAGGAAAATAGAAAAAGGACAAGAACCAAGTCTTTTTTTTTTCTCCCCTTAGTAGGGAAAGTCAATAGACTTAAGTCTGACATTAATTGGTACAAACACAAGCTAAACAATAAGGATAAAATACTGCTATAGATTTGGAATTAAACTTTTGATAACTTTGATAATAAAAGTATTCCTAAAATAAATATTCTAACATACAACTATGTGAACTGACTTGTTGAAGCTATGCATGATCAAAAGAAGACTACCTTGCCCCAGGGATCTAGGGCCCTCCTTCTTAATTGTGTGCTATTTGCAGGGTCTACAATGAAAATGCAGGACCTATAATCAACCAACTATGACTCTATCATCCTTGGAGAGCAAATGTTTGCTTCTCTCAATTCCCCTGGCTTTCTTCCCTATTAAAAAATGCCATGTTCTTCCCCTTCACTAATAGCAATGTCTGGGAATCCAAATACCCCTGCTTACATTAGCTACAAAGATCTTCTCTCTACCTGTGAGAGAAGCAAGATTTTTTTTTTTTTTGGTACTAGGGATTGAACTCAGGGGGCACTCGACCACTAAGCCACTTCCCTAGCCCAATTTTGTATTTTATTTAGAGACAGGGTCTCACTGAGTTGTTTAGCATCTTAGATTATTAGGCTGGCTTTGAACTTGTGATTCTCCTGTCTCAGCCACCTGAGCTGCTGGGATTACAGGTGTGTGCCACAGCGCCCAGTTGAGATGTTCTATTTAAAAAAATATATATATATATAATATATATATTATATATATATATAATTAGTTGTAGATGGACACAATATCTTTATGTATGTTTGTATGTATGTATGTATGTGGTGCTGAGGATTGAACCCAATGCCTCATGCATGCAAGACAAATGTTCAACCACTGAGCTGCATGCAACCTCAGCCCCAAGGTATTCTATTTTTTAAAAGTGTTATAATATCTGTTTATCAAAAAACTGGCAGTGGAAGCAATAGTAACAACAGAAATAGCAAACCCATGGCTTCATTGTATAAGATATGAAATTACATGAAAATAACTCAAAATATTACTCATTAAAATGGTATTCTATCCCTACCACCATGACTTATTGCTGCTGAATAAAGGTGACCATCATTGGTGAAATATAAATAACTATTGAGCAATGTGGTCATTTTTTTGCTTTTTCATTCAGGCAGCTCAAGTTAGGGATGGGGATGACAGGAAAAACTTTATGGATCAAATACATCACTTTTGGATTCTGATAGCTTAGGGCCTTTTAGCAGCCTTAGAGTTCAAAACATAAAAATAGGATGAAACCCTTTTTCCATTTCCCAGAGCCATTTGCTTAATAAAACATCTTAGGGGAAATAAAGTTATATTCTTTAGTATTTTTCCCCCTAAACATACCAGTAGTCAGTCAGATGTAACTTCAGGGACAGATAAAAATACGCAATTTTCCTTACTATGTATAGGCACATTCAGTTTCCCACCAATTCTGTCCCGAATTTCAGAGATAAAAAGATTTGAAAACCAAGACAAAACAAAAAACAAAAATAACAACAACAACAACAACAAAAAAACAGCTACAAGAAAAGATCTAACTGGAAACTATAAACTTTTTTCCGCATAGCTGAAGGGGAAAGGATGTTTAAAAGACAGCAAGGAAGAATTTCATCCTGCCAGTGATCTTCCTCTATGCCCTGAGAGATTGTTAATTCTTAATGTTTTTCACAGATATTTTGTCCTGACCCTTTATATAACTGCCCGTCTAACTTTATCTCCATCAATAATGTGTAAGGCAACTTCTAGACTTGTTTCTTAGCCTCTCAGAAAGGGTCAGAACCTTTTTATCAACTAATTGCATTTGATGCAGGATGATCCATCTTTCCAGCACTTCTGAAATTATGAGATTTATACTTATTTAGTATATGACAAATTTAAGGCAACATTTCCTATATTTATTGGCAGAATGAGAGAAATTTAGGGGAAAAAAAGTAGGGCTAAAGTTTTCATGATATTGAYTCATAAGTGCTTTCCATCCCTTGGTCAAGAAAATTGTAGCATTTAAGTGYATCCTTTACCTTACTACTACTACTACTATTACTACTATTACTTCTTCTTTTTAACATTTTAATGGTTTTAACTCTACCATTTTGGGTATTGGGGATTGAACCCAGGGGTGCTTTACCTGAGTTACACACCCAGACTTTTAAAATTTATTTTTGAGATAGGAGCTTCCTAAGTTATTGAGGCTGGCCTCAAATTGCAGTCCTCCTGCCTTAGCCTCCTGAGTTGCTGGAATTGAAAGCGTACATATCACACCTGGCAACTTTTACTACTTTTTTTTTTTTTTAATTTTTTTTGTAGTTTTAGAAGGACAGAATGGCTTTATTTGTTTATTTTTATGTGGTGCTGAGGATCGAACCCAGTGCCTCAGGCATGCTAAGCAAGCATGCTGCTATTGAGCTACAGCCCTAGCCCCAACTTTAACTATTTTTGAAAACCAAGTTTTTCATGGATGAAAGTAATCTGACTTGAAAGAAGTTGAAGCTTCCAATCTATCCTTCCTGAAGTGAGTTTAGTATGCTTCTGTTCATTCATTTGATGGTTTACAAATATTAAGCCCTGTGATATAAAAAATACATCAGTCTTTGTCCTAGTTTCCTGGGAGGGGACCTTTAGCTTTGGAATTCCCAAGTGGGCCTCCTGGACCTTACCTAAATTTATGGTATGGCAGGCCCCTAGATAGTTTTAGAATGGAGGCTGGAAATGTTGGGAAGACCAACTATTTGACTAATGGGTTGGGGCTTTCTGCACTCTCAACCTTAGAATCCATCCATGAGGAATGAAGATCGTATTCGAAGGCATAGCCAATGGTTCAATCATGCCCAATTAATGAAATCTCAATAAAACTTGCTTCATGTTTGGCACCCTCTCACTTCATCCTATGTCTCATCTTGATTTTGTATCCTTTACCATAAAACTGTTTTCTGAAGGGGTAATGAGAATCCCTGAATTTATTGTAGCCAGTTGGTTTGAAGAGCAGGTGGCTTGTGGACACTTGGCTTGAGGCAGGAGTCTGAAATAAGGGCAGTCTTATGGATAACTATGCCCTTAACCTGTCAAGTCTACAAGAACTCCAGGTAGTTATCATCAGAACTGCACTGTAAGTACCCACAGAAAACATGCCAGCCACATATAACCAACATTATTCTCTTCAGCATGGGGTTTATAACTTTGTGAAAGAGAAGTACATAAATAAATAGGACAAACAGTGATAAAAGATCTCAAAGAGTATACTCCATTTCAGGAAATGATAAAATACCTTTTAATGTAAGTCTATTTGTGGGAAATTTTTAATATCAATTAAATCTGACTACTTGAGTAGTTGCTTGTTAGGGACAAAGACGCAACTTATGAATCTATGTCTGATTTGGCTTCATATTTTGAGTTCCAAAGATGAAAAAAATGTCTGAGAAGTTGCTGAGTTGTACAGAATAAAAGTTTCCAGGTGTGCCTTACCTGCAAATAGATCAATGCTATAAGGGTGAGAGTACTTGTAACTTAATCCAAATCAACCTCACAGCAGTTGTTTTTAATTTAGACCCTCCAGACACAGGATTTATAGTTCCCATGACAAGTCACCTATGATAAGTTCTTTTTCTGCTTGTTAATTTGCTGGTCTGCTGAAACAGGGCAAGGTATGAAACAAGGTCAAAGGATACAAAACATTACCATGCATGCTGTGCTCCAAATATCAGCAGGAGTATTATAGCCAGATCCTATCAGAACTTCCAGGGAGCGATATTGCCTTGTTTGAATGTCTTCAGTAAAATGTTTGTGCTGAACAAATAGAAAGGAAAGAGTATTTTAAAATTCATTTATTCTAAAAAGCAACAAGTCAGGATTACTTAATAATGAAGATGAAAATAAATTCTCTTTTAAGTTTTTCCCCAAAGTTTCCATTTAGCTAACTTTTCAAGTATCATTTTGAAGCTATTACCAAACAATCCTTAGCCTTACCACATGCTATTCCAAATTATTTTTGTAACAGATGACAATAAATTTAATATAGACAAACAGATTTAGGAAATAACAATAGCTTTATAAGAAATGAAAAATTGTTATTCCAAATAAAAATTATGTTGCTCATTTGTCTAGAATTAACAGACTACTTCAACAAATGAAACTCAGATTCAACTCAAACTGTCTTAGCTATGTTTTCATTATGAAAACTAAAAGTTGGGCTGGGGTTGTAGCTCAATAGTAGAGCACTGGCCTAGCAAGTGTGAGGCCCTGAGTTTGATCCTCAACACCACATATAAATAAATAAATAAATAAAAAGAAAGGTATTTTAAAAAAACCAACAACAACTAAAAGTTGTAGGTTTTAAGACATTTATAACCACTCATACCACCTGTAAAGAATTCTTCATTCCCTCAAAATAACATCAAATATGGCACAAACATGGGCACAATGGCACATGTCTGTAATGCTAGCTACTCAGAAGTTTGAGGCAGGAGGATCCCAAGTTCAGGGCTAGGCAGAGCAACTTATTAAGACCCTGTCTCAAAAACCAAAAAGGGCTGGAAATGTGGATCAGGTACAGAGTAGTGTGATCCCTTCATGTGCATAAGGCCCAGGGTTTGATACATTCTTTGAGATATTTAAAAACCCCACCTTTCAATAAGTCATGTATGAATGAAAAAATATATATAGGACTATACTTCAAAATAATCTGGTCAAGGTTGAGATACAGAAGAAAAATGATTGGCCTGAGTGTTCATTATTCTATTTTATTTCTGTCCATGTTTGAAAATTTTCATAATTAAAAATTAAATGAATAATAAGAAAAGTTTAGTTTTCTTAGTTTCACCTATATAAAGGAAAAAAATTCAAATAATATTAGAATAAGAACAGGATGTTGTTTTTAAAAATGAGAGAATTAAGATGGTGCACACCTATAATTCCAGCAATCCTATTGACTGGGGAGGCTAAGGCAGGAGGATTGCAAGTTCTAAGCCAGTTTGGGCAACTTAGCAAGAACCTGTCCCAAAATAAAAAAAATGGCTAGGGATATAACTCAGTGGTAGAACATGTCCCACTAAGCAACCCACACAGAACAAATGACACAAGAGAACCAAATAACTCTTGTAGAGTGGAAGTATAATAAGAGAAATAAGAAATAATGAGATCTATAWGAAAAAATCTTTAGGGGGGTGGGGAGGAAATGAAAGAAAATAGGAGAGGAAGGTAAGAGATGAAGAGGACCTATGTAAGAGTTTTAATATTTGTATAAAGGTATTTCAGAAGTACAGAATGGACACTAAAGAGGAGAATATAATATAAAAAATTAAGAAAGATTCAAACCCAAAGAATTAGTCTCAAAATTCAAAGTACACACCAAATCTTTAGCCTAACAGGTGAAAATAGTTTTCTAGTGAGGCTCATCACTATGAAATAATATATTATAGACTTCTGCAAGGGAAAAAGCTTTCATAAAAAGATGAAGAATCAGGGTGGCATTGGTCATTAGCAGGAAGAATGGAAACGAAAAGACAATGAATAAATTTTGACAAATTCTGAAGGATAATTACTTTTAACCTAGAATTCTTTAAACATAGTCAACTGAATGTAATACCAGAATAAAGACTACGAGACATTCAAAGTCTCCCCCAAATCTCATACTCTTTCTTATAGCTATTGTACTCTACCACATAATTGTCACTGCTGCATTTACATATATTCACAAGTATTTCATGTATAATCATTTAGTAATAAATGACTTTTAAGTAATACCAGCAYAATTTTTTTTAAAAAGAAGCTTCACATACTGGTTATACCCCACTTAAAAAAAATTATTTTCTAATTATAGGTAGACACAATATATTTATTTTATTTTTATGTGGTGTTTAGGATCGAACCCAGGACCTCACACATGCTAGGTGAGTGCTCTACCTCTAAGCCACAACCCCAGCCCTGAACCTCATTTTTTTACAAAAAAATTTGCCATAAAATGTATAATGAAATATGGTACTGAAGAGGTCTCAAGTCCTCTGCAAAAAAAAAAAAAAAAAAAAAGGATAGCAGACAGCTGACAAACAGGGGCTATAAAGACAGAGAATATAGGATGATGGTGAAGGGAAATCCAAATGGGCAACCCAATCAGATGAACACAGATTAAGACTCCAGGTTCCAGGACAGAGCTCTTTAGGAAAATTAAGCTGAAATAATATCCAAATGTATCTGTCCATATTAAAGCATGAGTATTTTACATCACTGGGTAAAACTATGGAGTTGAATTAAGTGATAAATATTACAAAGAAAATTAAGCAAGCCAAATAATGCAGAAAGGAAAAGGAATCCCAATAATTTAAGTATAGAATATTCATCTAGGAAAAAATGATATGACATTTGCAAGATGGGGACTGGGGTAGTGGTGATAGATGGGGTCCTATTTTCCAGAAAGAAATAACAGCTAGAATTGGGGGGTGGAGGGGGGAAGACCTACTATAACTGTGTCATTTATTATTTATATAAAGGTAAATACATCAGGAGAGTGAAAAACTGGCAAAAAGAATAACACATTTTAAAATCAAAGTCTTTATAATTGTCTCTAAATTGTGTTCATGCATACCTGATAACCAAAACACAAAAGGTGTAATAATTTCTTAAAAACACCACCACCACCACCACCACCACCACCACCAAGCTCTTTAAAAATTATGTAAAATTTCATTACTGGGTACCAGTCACTGATATGCTGAATAGATTACTGAAAAGTGAGAGCTGAGCAGAATCCAGCAAGGTAGAACACTGTGTCCTAGTGTCCAGTTCAGAGTATGTGCCAATGCTGAATGAGTAAATGGGTGAAAAGAATATAAGGTCATTTTAGTAAAGATGATATAAAAAGGAAGATATGCATGTAAYAGCTGAAGAGATTTATTCTTCTGTAATAAAAGGGACAGGAAGCATTGTACCAGAACAAAGAAGTGTTATACATCAATAAGCAAGCATGCCAAGAAAGTGTTCCAAAGACAAAGGCAAAAAACTTGAAATGGGGTAGGCGGGCAGAAAGGTGACAACATTTGATGTTTGAAGAGTGTGGTATTTGTTAGAACCAAAATTATTCGCTAAGATTCATTTACTATTTATTGAGCACCTACTATGTATCAGGCACTAAGTCCTATGGATACAGCAGTGACTCCAAAAAATCTTTGTCGTGATAGGACATATATTTCAGGAAAAGGGACAAATACAGAGTATCAGGTTGTGTTAAGTACTACTGGGGGAAACTGAAGGGAGAGAGGAAGAGCGACTCTTGAGTGGTGGTTTGCTAATTATGTTTGTGTAGGAAAATATGGGAGAAAGCCAAACACAGTGTCTTGGGGAAAGCATTTCAGGTGGGAGGGACAGTAAGTGCTCTTTGCTTAGTGGTATTTGGACATAGAACTTTGGCATTCGTTCTGAGTAGGACCTCAGAATGAAGAGTTGGAGACTATCTGAAACTTGAATGATTACTCTGATAGCTGTGCTACCAACAACATAGAAGGCAAGTGTAGCAGGAGGAAGAAAGTGAGGGAGGTTATAGCAGTTACTACCAGTCATACAGGTGAASCTCTGGGTGACTACAAGAGTAGTATGGAAGAGTGATTCTAATTACTTGGAAAGCTGTTCAATCTTCCTATCAGTCAGCACTCAGCTCTTGCTTTATTTCTTCTAAAATGTTTTAACAATATTCTAGAATAAAGACTGGAAATGGGATCCTCTTGGACTCTGGATCATTTCCTCTTTTCTTTTTTGGTTAGTCTTCATTTACTTTGAAACCATTCTGTAAGTAATATGGCACTATATATCTAAAAGCCTTTAAAAAAAAATCACCTAATTTTTGACTTAGCAATTCTACCTTTAGGACATGTCCTAAAGATAACTATAAACAGATTCATGCAAAAAGATTATCAATCACAAAGAGCTGTCAAAAATGCTTAAAGACATAGGGAATACTATGTAACCATCTGATTTAATATAAAAAGCATATTAAGTGAATTAAAAGATCACAATTTTTAAGTTAGATTGCAGTCTTGAAAAAAGAAGTTGGGTGGAGGGAGGTTATGAACACAGCCATTAAAGGTATGAAAAGAGAATAATAGTGATAATACAAGATTGCCCAGGAGTTCATCTTACTAAATCTGGGTGATGGGTAAACAGGTGGAGGTTGAGGGTGGATTGTTCATTATTTTATTATTTTTCCTATTTTCATAGATATATCTGAACTTTCCAAAAAAAAAGGTTTAAAAAATGTAAAACTATATTTACTAAAATGTTAAGTGATGATATGAATACAGATGTTTTATTTTCCCATAACTAAGTCTAAATTCTTATTCATTCCAAGTCACTTCAAAACATAGCACGAAGACAAGTTTAACTTACCACCCAACAGGCGTTTCCAAGATCAGCAATCTTCACTTTGAGTTTTTCTGCATTTTTTGGCTCAAGGGGATTAACGAGGAAATTTCCAGCAGTGGATTTTCCTACAGACAACAGGCTCTGTCAATAAAACTATTTAATGAACAAAAAACCTCAAAGGGCTCTAATGATTCTCTCCAAGGTAAGAGTTAAACAGGCCCTCAACTGGCAACCTATAATAAGTTTTCTAAGACAAAAAGAACACAGCAATAACTCTTACAATTAAAACCTCTGTGATCAGAGCACCAAGTGAAATATTCTGAAGCCCATACACAACCAATAAAATTCAAAGTTAGCTAGTGCTTTACATATTAAAGGGAACTTGGACACCTGCTGTAAAACTGTAGTTACAAAAACAATGGTACTTTTTAGTCTAGAAATCATGAATGCGTTGTGCAGGGGAGAAGTGTTGGTGTATCTGCATGGATACCTTTATTGTCCAGTGGTCCATTATGTTCCTGCTCTTGCTCATCTTCACAAGGTATCTCTGCCCGAATGCTTTCTTGAAGTTGGCTGATGTCCTGTTCACCAAATGACTGGTCTACATTAGAGGAAGACTGGCACACCATGGTATCTGACACCTCAGAAGTTACAGGTGTACAAGAGTCTATTTCTTCATTTGTGCTGCTGTCTCCATTTTGGGAGCTTAGGAGACTAGGTTCCTGCTTCAAATTTTGGACACCACAGTCATTAGCATTATGCAGATCCTCTTTAAGCCTCAATGTTTCTTTATTACTGTTCTCAGTATAATTTATGATTTCAATTATTCCATTGCAATTAATTTCTGCTGCACCACCCTCTACACCAGGTTCCATAAGTGTCTGATCCTGGCCAATGGAACTTGACTCTTCTAAGGAACAAACAAACAAAACAGGACGTATGTGTATGTATGTGAGTGAAACAACAATTTCTCACAAGATTAAACATTTCTAGAACTTATACTGAGTGACATAAAAACATGATTAAATATCTAAAACCTATTTATGGAAGAACAAAGATCTTTTTATCCTTACCCAATGACTAAACAAAGTCTATGCTCTAATTCCTGAGAAAAATTAGAAATTACATTTGTATGTCACCTGCCTAACRTTTATGAAAAGATCTAAATCCTTATAAGGACACTCCCAGAGATGTACTTATATATGAAACCACTATATTATATAACAATGATATATTAATGTTAAATTGTGCCATAAAGTAATTTTTGTGATGCTCTATTTATACCAAGTTTTTCTTGGGTCATTTTATTAGATGGGTTCTCTTTCAAGGGTCTTTCAACAGGACTCTCTGAATCTTCTTGCTTGTTAGGTCTTTTTTGCCCAGGGCCCGACTCTTTCTCCATTTCCTCAATTTCCTGCATTCGCTTCTCTAGTAATTCTGCCTGGCGCTTCTGCTTCTTCTTCAATTTCTTCTTCTTATTCTTTGACATTTTGTCAGCCTGGGCGGAGATTACAAACAGATAAAGCCTTCAGGTGGCTAATCCATTATCCCTAGTTGGAGATAACTGTTAACTTTAAATATTTCCTAATTATATTTCATTCTTTCCCTAAGATTTTCCAATAACTTAAAAGCTGCAGTTAGGAGTGGTTGTGCAAGTCTGTAATCTCAGCAGCTTGGGAGGCTGAGGCAAGAGGATTTCGAATTCAAAGCCAGCCTCAGCAACTTAGTGAGACCCTATTTCTAAATAAAATATAAAAAGGGCTGCAGATGTCGTTTAGTGGTTAAGCACCCCTGAGCTCAATCCTTGGACCAAAAAAAAAAAAGAAAGAAAGAAAGAAAAGATAAGAAAAGAAAACCACCAGCAGATATTCTTATGAAACCAAACAACAAATCTTGGTCTTTTGAGTGGTCTGTGGGGCTAGTTTACTCTCGGACACTCAAATTTAAAGAAGCATCACCAGTACAGATTTGCTGAAGATGCATGGGAATTTGCTGAAGAAAATTACAGAAGCGCAGGAATATTTTCTCCCTTGGTTTCCAAACTCTGTTTAAACAGAGACTATCCATAAGAGAAGAATGCATGCCTACAGCCCATTGATCAGAATTAAATATAGAAACCCCTTATACTTACTGGTTTAGGTTGGGGAGCAGTACTGACTGAAAAGAAAAGAAAACCAAGTAAGAATTCTAGTAGTATTTAGCAGGCAAGATACCCAACCAAAATGAAAAGCTTTTCTTGAACAGTCTATTGTTTTTAAGGACTTCAGTAGAAACCACATTATCCTTATTTTTAAAGAAAACAAATAATGCATACAAAAGTTGTCAAACCTTAAAAAAGTTAAAATGAATCCTTCCCCAGGTAGCATTAAAACACGCAAAGGGCCAAGTCCTAATTTCTGGTTTCCACTATTAATGCTGCTAAAATCATCTATTTTCCCATTCCCACACACTGTTTAAAATATAAAGTGACAAGCAACAAGCACCTCATCCCCAACCTGCACTTCCACCTCCAAATTCTTCCCCCTTGGAACTTGTCAATTTTAAGAGTGGGGGAGAGGGGCCTAGGTGACACCAAGAACTACAGTAATTTGCTATAGAACATATTATAAATAACAGTTTAATTTAGGTAGGATATTTAGTCTTTCTTTTAAAAAAACATTTATAAACACAGTAAAAAACACATAATGAAAAATATATCCTCAATCATTTTTAAATATACAGTTCAGTAGTGCTCACTATACCCACACTGTTGTACAAAAGAACTCTAGAACTTGTTCACTGTGCAAAACTAAACTCTTGTTTTAACTTGTTTCCTCCTTTTTTGCCCTTCCTTTAAAGAAACTTTATGATAACTATTGTTTGAACCTGCATATCAAGAAAGTTCCTCAAATATGACTGAGCTACTAAAATGGAAAAAAATGTTCACAACCATAATTTATTCAACATATACTATTATGTGGCATGCTCATAAATGTATCAATGTGAAATTTAATCATGGTAACTCTTGAAATCAAGTCAGCCAGCCAAAGTCTCCCAGTCAATGGTGAAACTAAGATCAAAGTCTCATCCTAGTGCGTAAACCCAAGCTCTTAGCTGGGTGCAGTGGTGCACACCTGTAATCCCAGTGGCCCGGGAGGCTGAGGCAGGAGGATCACAAATTCAAAGCAACAGTGAGGTGCTAAGCAACTGAGACCTTGTCTCTAAATAAAATACAAAATAGGGCTGGGGATGTGGCTCGGTGGTCAAGCACCCCTGAATTTAATCCCCGGTACCACCCCTCTACCACCCCCCCCCAAGTTCTTAATGTTATCTTGTTCCTCTGCAGATCACTAATCCACAAGTGATCATGTAGGATCATGGTAAGCAGTAGCACAGCAAAAATGGTCATCAAATAAAAGAAATAACACGTTTATACAATAATACAAATTAGCTATTTTAATATATAACATGTCTGTAAGAATCTCTGAGGAATAATGAGAAAAAAGTCTCCTGAAGGTTGATCTATTTCTTAAATATTTTACAGTTAAATGATCAAATACTGTCTTATTAACACCTTGGCAATAAACAATGGTAGAAATTTATCTAAACTTCCAATGAGAGCAAAGCCCCTCCTTGCCCAATATACCTGCAGATCCTGAAGGTGGAGGAGCTCCAGATCGCTGCCATTCCGTTGCTTCTGCGGCCAGTCTCCGAATGTACTGCTCATTCACTGACAACAAGATGTTTTCCGGTTTAATGTCAGTGTGGATGATTCGGCACTTTGTATGTAAATAATCCAGACCCTGTAACACCTGAATGGGAATACAGCAAATTTGTAAACACGATATAGAAGATTGGTCTAGATTTCCAAGTTTTATAAAGCTAATTCTATTTGGACATAATCTTTAATTAGGTAAATTATAAAGACTGACAACAAATATTCAGCATACCCTTTAAGTGTTTAAGTATAGGTAAAGGAGATTTAGATATTTTCAATAATTACAAACAAGATAGACACAATACACCCCACGGGCTGGAAAAAAAACCTTAATTTTAGCAATTAAAAAACCCTGATTTTTAAAATAAAAATTCTATTGGGAATAAGAACACCTGATCTTCAGCAATATTTGAAAAATGACCACATAGCAAAGAGAAAGAGACATACTTGCTGAATGATTTTTTTGACACAAGGCAGTGGAAGCCCCTGATAATTGGACTTGATGATCCACTTGAGCAGATGATGTCCCAAAACTTCAAACACCATGCAGATATCTAGGAGTTCATTAAGGAATAAAAAGGAGGCACAAGAGAAAAGGGCAAAACAAAAGATTCCACCACAATGAAAATGTTACATATTGTTTTCTTTTGATACAAAAAGTTATAGAGCTTGATTGTCAATATTCTGAAATTCCAAGGTCTACTGCTAAAAAAATCCATGAAAAGAGAAAGAGCTAGTTTCTTGATAAAAACTATACATATTAATATACTCAGTGGTAAAAAGAAATAAAACCCACACACACAGTGCAAGCACTAAGCTAAAGCTATTGAGTTTTAGGCAAAGCAGTTTTTCCCCTAATATAGAGGGTTAATATTAAGTTCCTACTATCAGAGTCTCAAAYTAAAACAAACAAAACCTGAATGATTCCAAGGCATTATTAGATATCAAAACTAGAAAAAAAATGTCAACCTTTTTTTCTTTTTTGTTTTTTTACAATGCTGGGGATTGAACCCAGTGCAGGCAAGCACTTCCATTGAGCTATAGATCTTTAGCCCTCGATATGTTTTTTTWAAAAAAATAGAAAACTGACTTGATTTATGCTTTATAGTTTATAAACTAACCTTCATCCTAGTGCTACCATGTGTACTCTTTATATTCAAACATTCTCATCACACCACAGAGCAGGAATACTCTGAGCCTACTCTTTGAGTGTGCATGGCATTATAGAGATTTTGATAGTTTCATTTGTTGTCATCTTTTTTTTTTTTTTGGTGGGTGGGGGGTACTAGGGGTTGAACCCAGGGGCACTAAACCACTGAGCCACAACCCCAACCTATTTTATTTCAGGACAGGGTCTTTCTAAGTTGCCCAGGCTGACTTCAAACTTGTGATCCTCCTGCCTCAGCCTCCTGAGCCACTAGGCTTACAGGTGTGTGCCACTGCACTAGGCTTATGTTGATGTCTTCTATCCTCATAAGTTTCAACATACATTATATAGTCAAGACATAAACATAATATAGTAATAACCCACTGTCCAGGTATTGAAAAAAAATTTTTTTAGTTGTAGAAGGACACAATGCCTTTATTTTTTAAAAACTGTAGATGGATACAATACCTTTATTTTATTTATTTTTATATGGTGCTGAGGATTGAACCCAGCACCTCATGTGTATAAGGCAAACACTTCACCACTAAGCTACAACCCCAGCACAGATTTTTGTTTTAAATAATATTTGCAACTAAAAGAAAGCCTGGACTGATTAGAAAAATGGCCAGATGCAAGGCTACAGGACAGGAAAAATACAGGATGAGCTTAGGACACCTTGCTGTGCCAAACAAGGGAATTAAAAAAAAAAAAAAAAGGAAATATTTTGAAGAGAATGCAGTTGCCAAAGTGAGGACTATTTTGAAGAGTAAAGTTATGAGTAACAGACTAGCTAAAAATAGCCAGGTGCAGTGGCATAAGCTTGTAGTAGTCCCAGAAAACTGGGAGACTGAGTCAGGAGGATCGCAAATWTAAGACCAGCCTGGGCAACTCTGCGAGAACCTGTCTCACAATTAAGATAAAAAGATGTGAGCTGCAGTTGTGGCTAAGTGGTAGAGCGCTTGCATAGCACGGGTGGGGCACCATATAAAAGTAAATAATTAAAATAAAGGTATTGTTCACATCTACAACTAAACAACAACAACAACAAAAGGATGTAGTTCAGTGGTAGAGCACCTAGTTTAATCCCCAGGACTGCCTGCCCCTCCCACAAAAGAGTACATATACTGATGTTATTTTAGTGTGAAAGGGGCAGAAAGGAAATGTCTTCTTTAAAGACAGTCAAATGATAAATATACAAAATATGATGGAAACAGAAAAATCATCATTTTTATAATCACTATAATAATAACAGGTTCAGGTAAAAATCAATGAAACTACTATGTAAAAGACTATTGGGAAAATGATTGTCACAGTATCAAAATACCACTTCACAGATTAATTATAAAAGGAACGAGGTATTTTTTTWACAACAGTGAATTCAGGGGCTGGGGATGTAGCTCAAGCGGTAGCGCGCTCGCCTGGCATGCGTGCGGCCCGGGTTCGATCCTCAGCACCACATACCAACAAAGATGTTGTGTCCGCCGAGAACTAAAAAATAAATACTAAAATTCTCTCTCTCTCTATCGTTCTATCTCTTTCAAAAAAATAAAATAAAAATAAAATAAAATAATGTATTTTATGTGACTAGTGCTTTTAAAAAAAAAAAAACAGTGAATTCAATAAGGCACTGCCTCAAAGAGATAATCAAACTTACACTACCAATGATAAACACAAATCTGCACTGTTTGCCCTCTGATACAATACACTTGAGAAGAATAAGACATTATCTATCATACTTGACAAAACTGATTAACTGAACTAATAATCAGACAAATCTGAATTAAGAAACAAACTAATAACTAGCCTAAATTCTTAACCAAATAAGAAAAAAAAAGAAAGGTTAATGACATGAAAGGATGGTTAATGGGACATGACAAATCAAAACAACATGATCACATCTCAAGCTACTGTAATGAACCCCCCCCCCAAAAAAAGACAAAATATAAAAAAACAGCAAAAAACTCTGGACACTGGGGAACAAGAGCAACAATCCCTGAAAAGAAGGAAACAAATGAGTTAAATTCTAAGACTGCCCCCACTATACTGCCTTGACACTCTCTAGTCACCCTATGAGTTGAGTAGATCGAGCTGAAAGTCTGGGGAGACAAGGAAGCTATACAAGGTATCAAAGAGGAGAAAGCTGTAGAAGAGAACTTGAGGGTTCCCTTCAAGTATTGTGCAGAGTACTAACAAGTGCATGTATGTGAGGAAACTAACAGAGGCAGAGAGGAAAAATAAAAAAKAA